CAAGACCCTGGAATTTTAATACTCTGTGAGCCACATAGTGTCATACTATTAAAGGATTTACATCTAGTCTGCAAGTGGAAGGGAACTAATAAATTATTAAAAGCACACATAAAGAAAAAAATGATAAAATACTTAAAATAGGTATTTAAGTATATTTCCATCCTATAGGTATATCTCCATGGAAGGCCAAAATATAATGATTAGATTTCTTTTAAGTATGGAATCAGAGCAAGGGGAGTTAGTGAGATGATCGTGATAGCTTCTGTCATTAAGCCACTTCATCTTGGTTCATCTAATTCCTGAAGGAAAAACCTACTGCACATTCCAGAGAATGATCCATAGGCAGGGACACCTGCTCCTGTGTCCATTGTTGGAGTTTTACTATAAAATTTGGATACTGTTCTTTATCCTACTCTCTACCCTTTAAAAATACAGCAAATGAGATCCATTAAAAGAAGAGCAATTTATTCATTACCTTCTGAAATTTAACATGGTGTATTTTGACTATGCTCACTAGATTTACCCTAGATTGACAAAAGAATTGAAAAGTGGTAACTTTCCACAGAATTACAAGAGACAAAATTTATCAAAAAATTTTTTTTTGCTTTGCTTTGTTTTGTTGTCTTTGTTGCAAACCTGAACCCCCTTCCTTCCATCATTGCAGCACAAAGGATGTAAGGGAACAGGAAAGTGGTGTTGATAGCACTTTCAGTAAGAGCAAGATGTATTTAAGATGAAGCAATAGCACTTTCGCTAATCTTTAAAAAAAGTTCTCTCTCCAGCACTGCAAGAGTGGAGATCTCTCCTTACACAGTATGGATTTAAGTGCACAATGAGTATGCTATTTTGATTTTGATGGTGTAATTTGAATTTGTTAATTCAAAGCTGCAAGAGTTAAGCCATGACCATTTAATCATCTCATCAAAGCAAAATTTGCTGGTTGTTTAAATTATTTCATATTTCATAGATGAAATGGTGATCATATGTACATTTACACCTTTAGACATCATTTTAAGTCCATTTCTGTGAAAACTTTTTACATTAGAAGGGCTAGGGGGATTCCATATCAAGCCTGACTTGGATATCTGCAAAATCTGAATATCTGCAGTTCAGAGCAGAATTAGTCTTCTAAACCTTATCAACATCAGATTACATGACTGTTGATCTCTTAGCTGACAGTGATAGGCTGTTGAAATTCAAAGAGAGAAAATGCAAAGACCAGGGAGGATATCAGGCTGAGAACTTTGAGTTCAAGTCCTAAATAAGTGGCAGGCCATTTATTAGCTATATGACTTTAGGAGAATTACTAATTTCCTGGAATATAGATACTTTAATATGTAAAATGTAGATAATAATAGCTACTGCTCTAGTAAACATTAATAATGGAATAATATTTACCAGATATTTAAAAAATGATAGTTCTGGGAGGCCTGGGTGGCTCAATCGGTTGAATATCTGACTCTTGGTTTTAGCTCAGGTCATCATCCTAGGATCTTTGGATTGAGCCCTGAGTCAGACTCCTCACTGAACTTGGAGCCAGTGTAAGATTCTCTCTCTCTCTCTCTCTCTCTCTCTCCCTTTGCTGCTCTCCCTAGCTTGCATGTGCATGCTGGTGTGCTCACTCTCTCTCTCAAATAAAATAACAACAAAAAAATAGTTCCTACTTCTACTTATTCCCTATGTTCTCAGCCAGTCTAGACTGTCAGGGAACAAGCAACAGGATGTATGTCTGTTTCCAGTAAGATACATGTACTTTCAATCTCAATCCCTCATCTCAGTAAATAAAGCATATATAATGGAAACAAAAATTTTTACAAATTAGTACCTATCATGTGTCTAGTTCATTTCATTAAGAAATAGTGTTTGGGGGGGGCGCCTGGGTGGCTCAGTCGGTTAAGCGTCTGACTTTGGCTCAGGTCGTGATCTCATGGTCCATGAGTTCGAGCCCCGTGTCAGGCTCTGTGCTGACAGCTCAGAGCCTGGAGCCTGCTTCAGATTCTGTGTCTCCCTCTCTCTCTCTGACCCTCCCCCATTCATGCTCTGTCTCTCTCTGTCTCAAAAATAAATAAACATTAAAAAAAATTAGAAAAAAAAAAAAGAAATAGTGTTTGGGGCGCCTGGGTGGCTCAGTTCGTTAAGCAGCAGACTTGGGCTCAGGTCATGATCTCATGGTTTGTGAGTTGGAGCCCTTGGTCTGGCTCTGCGCTGACAGTTTGGAGCCCGGGGTTGCCTCAGATTCTGTGTCTTCCTCTCTCTCTGCCCCTCCCGGTCTTGTGCTCTGTCTCTGTTTCTCAAAAAATGAATAAGCATTAAAAAAAAAGAAGAACTAGTAGTATTTGAAAAACATTCCTCTAGACCATTTTAAATGAGCTTAGCGGGGCACCTGGGTGACTCATGTCCCGCTCTTGATTTTTGCTCAGGTCATGATCCCAGGGCTGTGGGTGTCAAGCTGCCACATCATGTTCCACGCTGAATGTGGAGCCTGCTTAAGATTCTCTCCTCTCATAGGTGAAGGGAAGGCAACAATAAGATAAAAACAGAGACAGAGGCAAACCGGAAGAGACTCCTAAACACAGAGAACAAACTTAGGGTTGCTGAAGGGGTATTGTGTGGGGGGATGGGCATTAAAGAGGGTATTTGTTGGGATAAGCACTGGGTGTCACATGTAAATGATGAATCACTAAATTCTACTCCTGAAACCATGATCACACTATATGTTAACTAACTTGAATTTAAATAAAATTAAAATAAATAAATAAATAAAATTCTCTGTTTCTCTGTCTCTCTCTCAAAAACAAAAAAAAAAGTTAAATAAGCTTAGTGACTATAGTTAGAAGAAATAAACACGTCTTTTTTTTTTTTTTTTTTTGAGAGAGAGAGAGAGAGCCTATAAGCAAAGGAGGGACAGAATCTTTTATTTTTTAAAAAATTTTTTTTAACTTTTTTTTGAGAGAAAGAGACAGAGTGTGAGTGCGGGAGGGGCAGAGAGAGGGAGACACCAAACTGGAAACAGGCTCCAGGCTCTGAGCTGTGAGCACAGAGCCAGACGCGGGGCTGGAACTCAGGAGTGGTGAGATTATGACCTGAGGTGAGGTCAGACGCTTAACCGACTGAGCCACCCAGGCACCCTGAGAGAAAGAGAATCTTAAGCAGGCTCCAAGCCTAGTGTGGACCCTTTTGCCAGGCTCATTGACCTGAGCTGAAATCAAGAGTTTGATACTTAACCGAGTCACCCAGGCACCCCTAAACACATCTTGTTTTAGGATGAGAGGTAACCTTTCCATCACTGCATTCTCTTCTCTGGAACTAAGGCTATGCTTGGATATGACCTATCATTGCTATTCAGGAGGTATTAGTACTGAATCTAGAAGTATTTTCTTGGACAGGCAATTAGCTTAGTGTTAAATTAAGAAAGCAAAACTTGAAAATCTCTCTAAAAGTTGACAGAGCTTGATTAATTTTAGTGAAGTAATCTTTTTTAAAAGATTTTCATAATTAAGGAATTTTTAAAAAGTTAATTAATTAATTTTTAAAGTAGGCTCAGTGCCCAACGTGCGGCCTGAATTTACCACCCTGAGATTAAGTGTAGCATACTCTACCGACTAAGCCAGCCAGGCACCCCTGAAGTAATCTTTGAATGAAAGGGCCCTTAGTGTGTTGCAAACAATATAATATAGCAAGTATAGTATCTAGTAACATCTGAGAACTCTGGTAACTTTGCTAAAGGTAGTCTAGACACATTGTTTTGAAGTTTTTTTTTTTATCATCAATAGATTTGAGGAAGTGGGTTTCTTAATACTCTGTATTCTTATGAAACTTAACAGTTCTGTGTATGTAGCCCTGATATAAAGCAAAAAGCAAATATGTGTGTGCGATTTATATTATGTTCCTTATTGCAATAAACATTTAATTTAGGGAAAGATAAACATGTTGAGATCTTGATATAGTTTTAAAAATGTCTTTGTTTAAAATATTTTTAGGATGCATTAGTGTATCTTCAGAAGGGGAGAGAGAATGGATCCTTTGAAAACCCAATCATGACATGATCATGTCACTCCTTGGTGCCAACCTTTCCTATTTTACTCACAGTGAAAGCCAAAGTCCTTATAATGGCCTCCAAATTTGGCCCCATTCACTTCTCCCCCACCTCATCTGCACCCCTTTACCTGCTCCCAACTCCTACTGTTCTTCAACCATGTCACTCACCCCATCCACTCTATTCTACCAACATAAGGGACTCCCTCCCTTTTCTCCTTCAGGTCTTTGCTCAAATTCATTGAGGCCTTCCCTAACCACCGTTTCTTGATGAATAAATACAAGAATGAACTTTAACTACTATTGCATAATGGTGTTTGATTTTTCAAAGTGTGTGTGTTTTTAATTTATTCCCCAGGTAGAAATTATTACATGAATATCATCATTGTTGATCTTAGATATGAAATATGCAGCAGAAAGAATATCATATATAGGCTTTTAAAGTTTCCTAATTTCTGTTATCTTCAGTTTTAAGGAAGTCAAACCACAAAGGTGGTTATGTTGTGACGTTTATGGCGGTCAGGTCTTAATGGGGAGGTGGCTGGTGGGGATTTCTGTTTCTAGGGCAGATGAGAGGTAAAAGTGTCACCAAGATGCTCAAAATCCAAAGTCTTGTACTTATGGCTGCTTGATTCTTGGAAGTCGAACCTAGTAAAGGAAATAAAACGCAGGATATTTTCTGGAACGATCTTCTGACGCAACTGTTTACAGCTTTCCTGTCAGCACCCAGGGGGAGCTTTACGGCCACCAGACTCTCACAAGCTCTGGTTAGTTCCCTGTCCCCGGGCTCTAGGAAGCAGCCAGGCCGGCTGAAGGGCCTCGCCGGGTCACCTGGCGGCGTCCTGGCCGCACGCACACGCCTCGCATTCCGGTTGGCCCGGGCTGCAACAGGTGAGGCGCGGCCTGGCGCGAATCACACAGCTGCCAGCCAGGCGCCCGCGCCCTTTGCTCTAGGCGACTGCGAGCTCCTGGAGGTAGGTCCCGGCGGCGGCGGCAGCGGCGGCGGCGCCGAGAGAGCTCCTGCACGGAGGCGGGAAGTCTTCCGCATGGGGGCGCTGCCACCTGCGCAGGGGAGGTTCCAAAGGGGAACTGGGTTTTTGTGCCGCTCCGACGCGCTGGAGTTGGGAGAACCCATCCTGACCATGAAGGTCAGCAAAGGCATCGAGAACCCGGCTTTCGTCGCCTCCAGCCCGGACACCCCACACCGTTTGTTTGCATCGCCCTCTCACGTCGAAGTCTCTGACTTGGCCATCAAATCCCAGGGACCGAATTCGAAGACACAGGAGCCCCCGGAGCCCCAGACGTCACCGGAGGCACCCCAGCCTTCAGCGGCTCCCTCTGCTTCCCAGGAGCTGTCCAGGCCAGAGTCGCCGCCCGAGTTTGAGGAGGGACCCTGCGGGTGTGGGAACTTGCAACCGCAGTGCCTCCAGCCCTGCAACACACCCCAGGGCTTTCTGCTTTTCTATTGCCTCTTGGCCCTCACGCAAGGTAAAGTCCAGCGCCGGCTGGAGAGGGCATTGGCCCCGCTCGGGGCGCGGAGGGACCGGGCAGGGGCGCGCGCTCCGCTTAGTCGACGCGCAGTGCCTGCCCCGGCCCGGGGTCCTGAAGCTTCCCGCAGGCGTCAGCAGGGCAGGGCCTCCGCATTTTAGCTTTTCCTTTGTAGCAACTTTTGAAACTGCCCTAAGGGCTCTTTATTTTTCGTGTTTAACCTCAGTTGAGTCAGTTCGATTCTTTTAGGGAGGGTGGAAATGACTGGAACCTTTGGGAACGGTTTGCCCTTCGGGGAATCCATTCTATACCACAAAAGTATCTATTTTCCTAAAGCCCTCGTTAAAAGGAGGTTTTTGTTTTGTTTTGCTTTGTTTTGTTTTACATTGTTTCTGCAAGGGAAGGATTAACTTTTAGATGAGGGTAGGGTAGTTCTCAAAGGAGAAGCTTGCTTGAATAGGTTAGACAGCAGCATTCATGTTTTGTTGAGGATATTGAGTTTGAGCCGTACGTAGGCACAGGTGAATGCTAGCAAACGCTCGAGGCGGTGTTGAAGGGCGAGGCTTTCGAAATAAAAGAGTTGTGCAGTATCTGTTTTGTTTAAGCATCTCTTTCAGTTTCTCTTGGGAGTTACCTGATAAAGTCCAGGTTTATACCCTTAGGAGTTTGCAGGGCAAGCCTGGTTTGGAGGAGTGAGTGGGAGAGTAGAGGAAGAATGGCTCCCAGGAAAGAAAGATTGCAGAAGGTAAAAGCAGCCGCAACATGGAATGCGGGGGCACAGGGGGTGTAAGAAACGGGAAGTTACGCCAAGGTGACCCACACATTGAAGAGAGGTGGGCCTTAAGGTAGAGGAAGGAAATGCTGAAGGCTAGTTAGAATTTGGTGGTACTGTATTTAGGTATATTTGGGTCACCTGAGTCCTAGGTTCACAGTACTTGTAAAGAGGCCATCCAAGGGTGATTGGAAGAAATGCAATCCAAGAAATTTTTGGGGGGGGGGTGGAAATTGCTCTTTTTTTTAAGATTAACCGAAGAGTAAATCTAAATATAATCTTCCTATTCTTGTCCCCACTCCCTTGTCTGAAAAGAGCTGCTTGCCCCTTGCTTTGCACATGTTAGGTGTTAAGTGAGTATACCTTGATTGCAAGTCAACTGCAGCTCTTCTGTCAAAGGTTGTTTTGCGCTAAAAAGTTATTTTGGTTTCTGCTTTTCTCATTAGTTCACCTTCTTTCAGTGTCTTGATCTTAGTTGTCCAAAATCTCTGTTGACGCACTTCAGTGCCAAAGGAATGCAAAGTTCAAAGAAGTTGGACACAAGTAAAATTTCTTGCTTTATCTTAAAACATAGGCTGAAGGGGCGCCTGGGTGGCGCAGTCGGTTAAGCGTCCGACTTCAGCCAGGTCACGATCTCGCGGTCTGTGAGTTCGAGCCCCGCTCCAGGCTCTG